AAAAAAAAAAAAAGGGAGAAGGAGAGAGAGATAGAAACATTGATCGGCTGCCTCCTGCACACCCCCTACTGGGCACTGAGCCCACAGCCCTGTGATGTGCCCTGACTGGGAACAGAACCTGCAGCCTCTCGATACCTGGGGCGACGCTCAACCAACTGAGGCTGTGCCAACGAGGGTTATTTTAATAAGCATGGTCCTGGAAAGGAAGGCAGGAGGCCAGAGTTTTTGTGGGTTTTTTAAAATATATTTTTATTGATTTTTAGCGAGGGAGGGAGAGAGAGAGAAACATCGATGAGAGGGAAAGGAGGCCAGAGTTTTAGCCTTGCTCCGGTTTCTCGTGTGGAGCGTGAGGTAATGCGCGCTTTGCCAAGTCTGCATCGGCGTTGGACGCTCAAATGAGGGACGGCCTCAGAAAGGGCTTTGGAACACACTGCAGGCCTAAAGAGAAAGCCTTGATCCAGCAGGCGCAGGAGAACTGCTGGCTGGCCGGGGAAGCAGTGTCGGGATGTCGTCGGTGCCCCTCACCCGGGCCTGGGAGGAGGCGGTGTCTTCACTCCAGTTTGCCCGCCTGTGCGGGGCTGGGGGGTGCCTGAGACCGCAGCGTGGGAAGCAGAGGGAAACGGGAGATGCGCGGGCTCAGGCGGGAAACCACGTGGGATGCACAAAATACCAGGTCAACCTCGATGATGTGTTGACTTCTACCAGCAACGTACGCGAGATGACCAGTTTCATGTGTAGGAGGAACTGTAATAAGTCAGGAAGGCGGGCGGGTTCCTGGAGCAATCGGGCTAAACAGGCAGAATTCAAGGCCAGGGGCGTTCCTAAAGCGACGCACACCAAGCCGGTCCTTCACTTGGAATTTAGAGTTTTTAGAAATTATATAAGGAAAGCAATATCTACAAGCCAATCTCATGAGTAAACAGCAGGATCAAAACAATGAACAAGAATAATTAAATCAATCTTATTTTGTTTTTAGCCAGTAAGTGATCCTTTAGAATGACCCCCGGGCGACCCTGTGGGGCTGAGCCGAGGAGTGAGGAGTAGCCGGAAGATGTTTTGTTGGTTCTTGGCTGAACGTTGGAATAACCTGGGCGGCTTAAAACACTATGAGCCCTGCCGGTTTGGCTCAGTGGTTGAGTGTGACCCATGACCCAGGAGGTCACAGTTCGATTCCGAATCAGGGCCCACGCCCGGGCTGCAGGCTGGACCCCAGCAGGGGGCGTGCAGGGGGCAGCCGATCGATGGCTCGTCTCATCATTGATGTTTCTCTCTCTCCCCCTCTCCCGTCCTCTCTCTGAAATCAATAAAAAATATATATATTTTTTTAAAAGTTGAAGGGTTGCCCATTGAGAAGATTCAAGCGAACAGACTGCAGTTATTTCCAACATAAACCCCGTCTTCTGCGTAAAGGGCTTTAAGCCGTAGGTGCCGCTGTATCACAACCGTCGGGTGGCAAACTCAGGCACCGGGCGGTTACACACGCGTTCAGTCGAGGAAAGCACCGCGGAGGCGCCGAGGCCAAGGAGAGGCCAGCAAACCTCACCCGTCCACGGCGTCAGGACCTGTGAAGGTGACGGATGAACCGGAGACGGGAACGGTAACATTTCCCCAGACAAAGCGCAGAGCAGAGACGTCCAGGAGTCAGTGAGGAAGAGGGAGAGGGGTGAAGACCTGTGTGCGCGTCTGGCCTCTCAGTGTGACTAAAAACGGCAGCAAAGGGTGGATCCAAAAAAAGGCAGGGACGTGGAAAACTCAGCAACCTGACCTTGGAACTGTATCATGCAAAAATGCCCGGCTGTGACCCCGCATTGTCACTCGGTGCCTCCTCTGAGGAGTCTTGGAGCTTCGCCGCCTGCCCGCCCCCCCCCCCCNAAGGCCTGCCTCTGATCTGTAGTCACATTTTGGACGTCGGTGACTTCGAGGCCTAAGGAGTCACCCTCCCTGGGAGGCTGGCACAAGGGACAGTGTCCTAGAGCGAAGACCGGCGTTGGAATCACAGACCTGCCGTGGGCGAGGGGAGCTCGAGGCCCCCGGCTCCCATGTGTTTTTCTCTGTTTCACGGATCCCGTTGTTGTCCTCAAGCCGGCTCAGGGTGACATCAGGCACCGGCGACGCCAGGATAGGAGCGAAAAGGTCACTTAAAACCTTGGGACTCACCCAGCCTCTGTGCTCGGAGATGTATCTCCCGGGTGGACGTGAATTTCCCTGGAGCGTTTCAGACTCGACTCGCCCGGTTCCCCTTGTGAGGGTGGACGCGATGTTCACCGTCGGGCGGCTGGTGGCCGGGGACAGAGGGAAGGGAGCCCTGGCTCCTGGGCACACCACCTCTGTGCCCGAGTGCTCCTTGAGGACAATACCAGGTCCCCGGGCGCTCACTCTGTGTCCCGGGCCTGTGTCTAACAGGAAGTGCTTGGGAACTGTCCCTCTGAACGCGGGCTTCTGAGGACGCGTTCACTTGGTCCGATGGCGCCCTTTGTTTTACTAAGGGCAGTGGGACAGAAGGGTGCCAGTCTGGGGTAGGTCTGTCTCCACGTGGGCGCTAACTGGCCCTGGAGATCTGCGTCCTAAGGAGGGAGGGACCAGTCCCTCAGGAAGGCCAAGCGGCACTACTTTGAGGATAATTACGCGGACTTGCCGTTTGGGGGTAACTACCTTTGTTGAGCCCGCTCTGTGCGGGCACTGGTCTCATCTCACCCGCTTTTCCAACTGTCGAGGCTGCATTATTTTTTTGTGTGTGTGTGTTTTTTTTTTCTGATGGGGCCTTTGAAAACCNTGGAGATCTGCGTCCTAAGGAGGGAGGGACCAGTCCCTCAGGAAGGCCAAGCGGCACTACTTTGAGGATAATTACGCAGACTTGCCGTTTGGGGGTAACTACCTTTGTTGAGCCCGCTCTGTGCGGGCACTGGTCTCATCTCACCCGCTTTTCCAACTGTCGAGGCCGCATTATTTTTTTTTGTGTTTTTTTTTCTGATGAGGCTTTTTAAAACCCTCACCTGAGGACGTTCTTTCTTTTGTTTCCCAGAGAGAAGGGAAAGGGGGGAGAGAGAGAGAGGCCTCGACGTGAGAGACACATGGCTTGGTTGCCTCCGGCAGGCGCCCGGGCCAGGTGGGGCTGGATGGCGCCTGCAGCCCAGGACGTGCCCTTGGCCCGACTGGAACTCGGGGACCCTTCAGTCTGTGGGCCGAGCCTCCAACCGCTGAGCCAAACCGACCAGGGGCTATTATTATTTTTTTTTTTCATTTATATATGAAGAGACCCAAGTGATGCTCAGAAGTCAAACAACTTGGTGAACAGTTCCGAGCTGGTGATGGGTGATTTTGGAATTTAAACTCAGGTGTACCCAACGCCAAAGCCCAACCTCCCCCAAGCGGCGCCTGGCACCTAGTAGGTGCTCAGTAAATATCTGTGGAAGGAAGGAAGGGACGCTGCCCTTCCGCTGTCCTCCAGTCGCCCACCCCGGCCGCCCCCTGGTCCCTGGCCTCGCTCTTCCAAGTGACTCTGACCCACCTCTCAAGGCGTTGGAAGAAGCTGCTGTTAAAACGCAGTGCTCCTTCCCTGGGCGGGCGCGGCCGGCCCCGAGCGCTGACCCATCCATCCGGACCCAGGCAAAGAAAGGCCCGGGCGGCC